ATGTTTGATTTGATAATATTTTACCCATATTAAGTTTCACTTATTTGACCCAAAAAAAAAAACTTTATTGATGGAACCAAATTATCAGTGGAAAAACATCTATAAAGAGCCTTTGAAATATAGATATTGAAATTCCAAAAATACAACATGAAACAAATATACTGACAAGGTTTAAAATTTTAAAGATATCCTTAATATAACAAGCAGATACATCAATGAAGAGGTGCATGCTTCTAGCCTCTTATTAGAATTACATGATCATCGTAAATTAGACTGAACGAAAAAAAAACAAAAAAATAGTGTGAAACGTTAGACTAAATAATAAAACTCAAGAACAAGTCATTTGTCTTGAAACCAAATTTAGACATTGAACTTTTCATACTTAGGTCTTTCCAACATGATCACCATTTTTCTATTTTTGGAATGCAGAAAAAGAGGGCTCTTGCTCATGGCTCATGAAAAAAAAATTATTCATTAAAAAATATATAAAATATGAATTTTAATAAATATATAAAAACATGAATTTTATATACGTTTTTATTGGTTAACGATAGTTAATTAAGACTATATATTATTACGTAATTTTGTTACTTAATTATTGTAAATTTATATTCTTTGAATAAATATCAAATGCAAGTTTTTTTTCTTGAGGGAGTGGGGTCCATGAAAACGTTTTGCTATATTTAGCTTTATTTTGTTGATTTAGTTCGATGATTGATACTATTTACTTTGAATATTTTAATTCGAATTTGTGTCACGCCTCATAAGGCCCATTGAAGGTGAGATTACTCTATATAAAAATATTTTTTTATTTATAGAGCTCGAACCTAAAATCTATAGTATAAGAGTGAAAGAACATATTTTATATTTATATTAGCCTTAAAAAACCTTATCTCCTCCTACCATTAATTCAACATAAAAAAAAGAAGGATAAATAAACACTCTTGACAAAATTGTCTGAGGTTTCTAACCCACAAGCAAAGTCATTTGTTTTATCATTTGGTATTTGATAATTATATTAGTGTTTGATTAAATTCAAAGGAAATATCAAATTGGAAGTAGAGTACTCTCTAATAAAGATAGTTTTGTACTCAAAATTCAATTTAAAAATTTCTAATTAAGAATAAAAAAATACTTATTACTCAACTACGATTCTTATCGGTCAAACAAGCAAAGTCTTATTATACTTACCTAAACCCTTTATATTTATCTTTAATATTTAAAGTTGTTTAGCATAACTAATTTTGCCTCACTTGGGAACTTGGAAAATTACTATTTATGAAATTTTTAGTTCCTCTACTCCATCTGTTACAATTTAGGTGTCACAATTTAAATAGATACAAAGTTTAAATAAAATGGATATTTTTGAAATTCGTGATTTTTGAAGTTTAAACTTTTTTTATTTTTGAAATGTTTGAATTAAATAATATTCAAAGCTTAGGAAAAAGGGCTTTTTTTTCAGAATGATGTTTTACTATATGAAAGATTAGATGTATGAACTAATCATAGTTAATCATTTAATTATTTGTTATATTATATGATGCTGACCTTAATTAAATGCAAGTTGGTAAAGGATATACGGCATGTTATACTTTCCTCAAAGGTGCCAAATTAATAAAAATTAGACATATGAAATGGAAACAAATGAACTTCCTTTCTTTTTAAATAATTTTTCTTATATTGTTGATTTTTTTCCGCAGGAAGTCTCACCTTAGGAGTAAAACGCTTCCTAACAAAGGCGACTTTATACACAGGAGGACTCGAACCCGAGACACATTTAATTAAGAATGAAGAAGTATTTATCACTCTATGACAATCCTTATTGATATCTTAACTGATTCTATTAGTACCTAAAAAGTTACCTACCACTAACACAACTATTTATCACTTTATCCATAAAACTTAACCATATACAAAGAAATTATCTTATACTATTTTTGTCTTCGATGAAATTTAAACACAAACAAGGTTTTACTTAACAATAGAGGGGAATTACAATCCATGTTCATAGGGAGTCAATTATTAAAAAAAAATACTAGATAAATTACTTAACAATAAAGGCACTAATATATATGTTTACTTTTTCATATTATGAATTTCTTTAATAAATGTTCTTGTTCCACCACTGTTTAAAAAATCAAGCTCAATAAGTCTAACCAAAAAAAAATTGAAAATCTTTGTTATACTTATATGTTATCGTGGATTGTCAAAACATGAGAAGAAAACAATTAGAATAATGTAAATATTAGTGATACATTGAATCTAATACTGTCTTAATATATTTTATATCTATATATAAAAGAAAGAAATAATCTAGAAGAACTGAAAATAGAAACATAATTTACTTTGGCTGTCATTTTCAATATAACATCGGTAAATTTATTTAATCTCATGTTGCTTACATTACTATCATTTTACTAGTAAAAATATTATTTATCAATACATTTTTACTAAATACATTAACTATCTATTAACAATTTAAAAATGTTTATCCATATATATAACTGTTTTTTTTCTTCTCATTAAATCATTATACTTGTATAACGTTCTTTTGATCAAATTTTATTTTTGGTTATTTATTCCGTACTCGTTTTGAAATTTGACTAATTCGAATTTACATCAACAGAACAGCGACTCTTGCAACTTCAAATTGAGAGAGAGAAGATATACATTATATTCACCATTTTAATAAAAAGTCTTGCTTTTTTTAAATGATGAAATTGACAAGGTTGGGTGACCTAATTTTCAATGAGCAGCTAAAATTAAGTAATTAAAAAGAGTTAATATTATTTATATAATGAAGTGAAATTTCTACGAGAATTCTAGGCTTTATCATTTATCAATTAGTATTCCCACTATTATTTTCAATATGAAATATAAGAAATAAAGAAGAGAAATTAAATAAACTATATTGTTGGAATATCAAATTCCTAATTTTCGTATTCCTCCATTCTTTCAGGTGACATATATAAGATCCAGTAAAAATTTATATATATTTGGTGTTGATATTTAGTTAATGTATTTTACTATATATAGTTAAAGTAATAAATAAGATGAAAATATATATTAATTATTAGTTATAGTAAGTGAAAAAAATATATATGCAAAAGATAAATGTCATGGCGTTATCATATTTGTGTTTTTTTTAGACTTTGATTATTATTGTATTGTTTAGGACGATTTATCAATAGTATTTTGTTATGACTGTCTTCTTTGTCGTTATTTCTCCCTATACTACTTTGGATTGTTTTGTTTTAGTCGAGGGTCTATCGAAAATAACATCTCTACCTTTAAGACAATAATTACAAATAAAATTTGTGTATACTTTATCCTCTCTAAATCATACTTTGTGAGATTACACGGAATATATTGTTATTGATTCATTATAGTTGATCATCTTGTGCTTGGAAGTGTTAGATTTGTCCAATTAGAGGAGTTGGTTGACATAAAACTATTTTATTTATGTCTTAAAAGCGACTTAAAAGTAAATTAATTTAAGTATATAATCCTTAAGGATTTTGTTGATATACCTAATCCAAATTAAACAAGTCAATATATATATTAATTGAAAACTTAGATACTATTTTTATTTTTTTAACGAATTAAGAGAAATGATATTCCTTTCTTCTCCTCCTTTCCAATCGATTTCATTATTTTAAAAGCTAAAACATCTTGATAATGACCGTCTAAATATACGATATTTTTAATTTTATTTTATTTTAAAAATTAAATTCTTCCCTTAACTTTGAACAACAAACATTTTCAAATATCGAATATAAATAATTATTTATATTGTATTTGAGTTGAGAAAATTATTGCTTACCTTCAGCTCAAATTTCAATTGTTTTGTATAGTTTGATTGAACCTAGAATTTTTTTTTTAAAAAAAGTTATATCTTTTTAATTATACATAATTTTAATATATGAAAAAAAATATTTACGGAATTTTTTAGACAAAAATAGTGCTAAACAAATTAGACAAACAAACTAATTTAATTCTGAACCCCCTGATTAGGTCTAATGTCTGCAGATTGTTTGACTCTTAAAAGTCAAACAAGTTTTTTAATTCCTTGTATAAAAAAAACAATAATGCTATTTTCTATATTGTTTTAAGTTAAAACTATAATAATATTCTCCAAATGGACATTTAACTTGATGTATTTTTATCTATTAAAATTACTTTTCTTTATAATAATAAATAAATTATGAGCTATTTATGTGTTAAACCACCAAAAATTACTTTGGTATTTTTGTTTTGCTTAACTTTAGTCAAAATTAAAAGGGAGAGATATCTCAATTCATAATCTACCTAAAGTGGATCCTTATCTTATTTTGTTCATAGTCTAGATATTCAGTCTTAGACGTATTAAGTAGCAGCGCGTGATACTAGACTCCCTACATCGATGGAAAATAATTGATATTATCGATATCTTTTCATATCATGATCTAGTTTCTAAATCTATAATCATATAATCAAAGAGATACATTATAACTTCGATCCATCGATATATACAAGACTCAACACCCCATACACCAGAATTGAACATAACTCAAACTCAAAAACTATCTCAACGGTTATAACAACTAGCGCGTATACTCAATAAAATAATCGAGATACACGCAAACAGGTTAATGACAACACCATGGTCATCATGTAAAAAGAAAATGTCAATAGGAATAATGATGAAGAAAGAAGGGCATTAAGGTCATTTAATAATCACATAAGATTGAGAAAGATGGTGTAACAAGTAAGCTCAAAAGCGGTTTCTATAGATTTCTGCAAAATCGTTGGGTGGTTTCCCTCGGTCCAATTTATTTTTGGTTGAATACAACTCCGTCTTCTTCTTCTTCTTCTCCTTCTTCTTCTTCCGTTTCATTATCAATAACAACACCGACTCCGGTTTATCTGTCTTTATTTTTATTGTATAACTAGTCATTCATCATGTAAACGAGCTCTCACAAGCCCAATTTATACCCCAAAAGAAGAAGAAAAAAAGACGAATGGATTCATCTAAAAATCAAATTTCTTTCATCAATCAACACCAGTTTTTTCATGATCCTCAACAACAGCAACAACAACAACAACAAATGGAAAATCATAAGAATCATCAGATTTCTTTTGGATTATCATCTACTAATCCTGAGAACTTCATGTAATTCTTTTTTTCCTCTTTATTTTTTGATAATTTTTCTTGATTTTTTTTTATAACCGTCGAGTTAGCTTATGTGCAGCTCCCACTAGCACAAATATTGATAATTTTGTTTATCAAAGCTTGAAGAAATGAGAAATAATTGTCAAGGACATACGTCTCTACCTCTAAGTTGATCATCCTATCGACTAATGGACTATGAAGGGAGAGAAAACTCGAGTGACTTGATTATCCCCTTCATAGACCATTTATTAGGGTTGAGGATAATTAGAAGTGTAAATTGAGCAAGCAGAAAAAAATAGTATTATTGTTTTTATTAAAATTTGAAACCGAGATCTAGTGATTCTTATTAATTTACTTTATTAATTACTAAATCATGCGTTTTTAATATTTTTATTTTTATTTTATGTAATTAATTTGATTTTGTTTTGTATGAACAGAAGCAAAGAGAATAATGGTGGAGCTTATGATTTAGGTGAACTAGATCAAGCACTTTTTCTATATCTAGATGGACAAGATCCTTCTTCTTCATCAATTCAAGATCAAAGACGTATGTTAACTTTCTTTTTAATTTATTTTTCTCCGATCAACAGTAAAATTATCTTCGTGTAATTCATAGATCATAAGTTTAAACGGTGGAAACTGTCTCTCTTAAATAATCTATTGAGATTCTCTATGAGGAATAGTTGTAATTTTGGTCATGAAAAAAGCATGTTTTTTTGGACAAATTAAAATCTGATGGAATATATAGTACTATATACTTACTTTGACCAGATCTTCTCACAATTCACAAGAAAATAAAGAAAAAAAATTTCCATTTCTGATTTTAATCCAAAGTATACAAATTAAAAGATTTTCTGTTTCTTCTCTTTTTTTTTGCAAGTTTAGCTTTTATTGTTCAATTAATTTGTATTTTTTTTTCTGTAAATTATTTGTATGCATGACCATTCATAAAGGCATTTTTTTTGTGATATATTTTGCAGAGAATAATTATGGAATGAGGCCACCAACTCTCAACATTTTTCCATCACAACCAATGCATATTGAGCCATCTTCAACAAAGGTATATTTATTTAGTAATCGGGTAGTTTCTTATTATTCGTTCAAGTTATCAGCTGCTTTATTTTGCTCGGTATGTTGTTATTCTATTGTCATTTCTTTTTCTTCTTGCGGTAAACTTTCTCTTAATAACTTTTTTTTCGAGTCAAGAGTCTATCAAAAACAGTCTTTCTACCTACACAAAGATATGATAAGATTTGCATAGTACATCTTATCCTCTTCACGATTGTTGTTGCTATTTGTCTTACACCATCAAATTAAGTTGAACGACAAAAATAATATATACATATAACTTTTTTACATTATCAATGTATATAACATAAACGTTATCGATAATTAGTGGAGTAAGAGTGTTAACTTCTCGATACACTCGAAGTATGTATACTTTTTATATCATCAGGTTAAGTTTGACCAACGTACCAACGACAAAGTAATTTCCCAAATCTGACATGATAATCTCGAAAATAAAATAACACCTTACGATATTTACTCAAACAATCATAAATGTATGTGTACGTATATGTATGTGTATAAATAAATATATATATATATATATATAGCTAATAATGTTTCATTTTCTTGCAGTTAATTAACTATATATGTTTTAATTTGTTTGGTAGGCAAATAATAATGCACTAGTTTCTCAAGCTACAAATGGTTCCAAAAAATCATCTCAACCAACAATCGACAAAAGTGAACCACCCAAAGTTACTAAGGTATCATTAATTATCATTTTCGTATTATAAATTCGTCGCTGTCACTAAATAGTTTATATATAGTTTGTACATGATTTCTCGATAAATCATCACTAAATCATAATCAAATAAAATTAGCGATAAAATTTTGCTAGACAAAAAATTGTTTATCGCCAATTTTTATTTGTTTTAAAAAAATAATAACGTCATTTCTTCATACTTTTTTTAGGGAGAGGGAAGTCGTAAGGTTCCAACTTCAAGTCCTGAGCAAGACGCACCTAAAACATCAGATCCCAAGGTGGGACTTAATTTTTTGTAAAATTACAAATTTCAAAAATATTTCTTTTATTTTTTAAATTCTGTGTCGAGTCATTTAAATATTTTTATATGATCAAATAGTGTAAAAAATGGTGAATATATTAAAGTTAAAGTTAAACTTGATAATATTAATTTTGTTTTTTGTTGCATGCAGACATTAAGGAGACTTGCTCAGAATAGAGAGGCAGCAAGGAAAAGCAGAATTAGGAAAAAGGTTCATTAATTAATTATTATAACTCTTTAATTTTACTATATAGTTTTTAGTGTAAATGTTGAAATTAAATAATGGCTTCATATATGCTTGAGAATAATTTTATTTTATGGTAACTTTTTTTTTAATTATACAGGCTTATGTTCAACAGCTAGAGACAAGTAGAATAAGGCTCACTCAATTGGAGCATGAAATACAAAGAGCCAGATCTCAAGTAATTCACTTTGATTTCTCTTATTTTCTACTCACTGAATCAACTCATTGAAAAATACATGATTAAAAACAAATTTTCACTGAAATATTTTTTCTGTATAAAGACATTACTTTTTCTTTTCTTTTCCCAACGAATTCAATCAAAATATCTATAAAAATAATTACTGAATATTTTTTAATGGGATATTTCAATGGAAAAATAATAATTTTTTTAGTGATTCTTAACATATTACTAGCAAGATATTTTGGTAATTAATAATCTTCAATAATTATGTGGGTTTATGTGTTAAAAGGGATTTCATGTTGGAGGAAATGTTCTTCTAGGAGGAGACCAAGGCTTTCAACTTATTAATAGGACCAATATCAGCTCAGGTACTATTTATATTCCAATTCTCGATCTGATACAATCCTTTCGATTTTAATTGTGAAAGAATAATGAAGTCCATCCGAACATTACTATCATATCACTTTAGAAAGATAGATATATACATAAAATTAATCATAACAAGTGGACTAATATATACGTAAGATATATACATTTCTATTTTTTCTCTAGTATGTCAAACTAAAATCGTATTTTTTTATACGATCGACTTATATATAAGTTAAATTATTTTTTGCATGAATTTAGATGCTGCGGTATTCGATTTGGAGTATGCAAGATGGCTGGAAGAACATCATAGACTCATATGTGAACTTAGAAATGCAGTACATGAAGAACAATTGCAAGAGGATGAACTTCGTATTTACGTCGAAAATTGTGTGTTACATTATGACAATATAATGAACTTGAAGGGCATGCTTGCAAAATCTGATGTTTTTCATTTGGTTTCTGGCTTGTGGAAGTCTCCGGCTGAACGTTGCTTCTTGTGGATCGGCGATTTTCGTCCATCCGAACTTCTCAAAGTAAGTACTGAACAGTTATATGTTGTTATCTTTTCATATTTAAAATTATAATACGAGACTTTAGTTAATAATGAATAAGTATAATTGTCACTTAAGTCATCAGAATCTTTACCGCTTAAATTTTACATGAGAGGATATTCTGGCGTGGATTTGTATTCCAATTACTTAAACTCAAACTTTTCATTTATATTTTTAAAAAAATGAGTAATTAATATGTACATAAATAATGTATCATGAACCCCATAACATAAAAAGAGTTATGGTTCAAACCCTAGTTTTCATGAGGGTTATAAATAGTATTTGAGCAATATCCATCTCAATTATTGTGTATTGATATGTTGGACCATCATGTTAATTAAATTGTCCACACACCAAATGTTCAGTGTGAAGTGGGATGTAAAATTTAGCGAAGACAAAAAAATATCACTAGGTAATTTTTTCCATTTGTCCTAATCTTGATGGACAGAGTTACCTGATATTTGTTGCTAGTTAGGACTTAGGAGTAAGATAAATTCAAATTCTGAATCTGTCTCGATATATTGTAGGCATAGAGCATGATGTTGTGTGACTTTTGTGTAGATAAATTATGAGAGAGATGGATTACAAGACTTTCCCTTATAGAACCCTGTTAGATATATTTACCTACTCAACCAAAAAGCTATATATGTTTCTTACTATTTTTAAACAGTCATGATTTCTTCTAGATCTATATATTAACTTTAGTTGGTACTCCTATTAAGTACTAATTAATTAACAAGAAACAAAATTAAAGGACTTTTGTACTTTATATTTTATCTCCAACTACCACACTATTTGCTTTTATAATTTAATTAATTAGGTCATTTTGATATTATTGTGGAGGTTTATATTTGGATTAGCTAGATAGATAGCTAACTAACCTTGTTTGGTATTTTATGAATGGACTTAACTTATATAAAGTCAGTGTAATTCAATTTGTTATAGTACAATAGTTGTCTTACTTTATTTTCTAGGTAACTTGTTTGGCTTAATATGAACAATTATAAAAATATAGTTATTCTTAATCGCATAGTCTCATATTCAGTATTTGTTATTTAATTTTCTTTGTATTCTGTTATTTTATTGTTATATTTTTTTGATATCTTGCTTCGATGACTTTTCTTTTGAGACGATGGCCTAGCAGAACCAACCTCTCTACCTCACAATATGAGAAGTAAGGTTTTCGTACTTCCTATACTTCTTAGATCCCATTTATGAAATTACATTGGATGATGGTCTTGTAGAAACAGAGCTAGGCTCAATAATTTTGACTAAAATCCTGTATTTGTGTTAACATTGAATATGCATAAATAATTCATTCAAAATTCTTATTTACTAAAAATTCTTGATCCGTCTCTGGTTAAACAGATTATAATGTGTCAGATAGAGGCATTAACAGAAAACCAATTGTTGGGAATGTGTGGATTACAAAAATCAACACAAGAAGCTGAGGATGCTTTGTCACAAGGATTAGAAGCTTTGAATCAGTCATTATCAGATACAATAATTGCCTCAGATGCATTAATATTGGGTAATAATAATGAAAATATGGGAAACTACATGGCTCTTGCTATTAACCAACTCTCCACTGTTGAAGCCTTCCTTAGACAGGTATATTATATTATGTTATATTATATCATAGTACGTAGTAGTTCATTTGTCTATAGATTATGTGATTTTCTTTTTAGTCTGTTTAAAGAAAAAGTTATTTTTATTAAATGAATTTTGAATTTAATTTAACTTTAAAAACTAGTTTAAATGGAGGAAAATTGTTCAAGACATAAAAAAAGTCCCAACTCAATATGAGACACTTTCTTCCAACAACCCCTTCACACTCAGACACTTTTTGGACGGGAACGTGCACAATCATGGATTAGGTTTATTCACAAGCACTCTTGTGTGGGGAACATCGAACTCAATGGGTTTGGCTTTGATATTTGGGCAATTATACTCCGTTTGAACTAACTTTTGGAGTATGAATTAGGCCTAAAATCGATTTAATTTAATATCGGGTCCTTCGTGGGTGTGAATATATCCCCATCTATGATTGTGCATGCGGTAGTCCGAAAATGTGTTTGCATGTGAGGGGGTGTTGCAAAGAAATGTCCCACACAAGATCGGGACAAGATCTCAGAACTCCTTATATATATCGCTTGAGCAATTTTTCTCTCTTATAGAACTTGTTTTTTAAGTGAGTTAGGCCAAAGATTTATTTAACAACTTTCTCCTTTTCAATTTATGTGTATCAATTTAACTAGATATAAAATTTTAAATCTTATAATTTTAAACATATCAGATGAAATATACTACAAATTATTTATCAAGCATATTGTTTATTTATATTTATTCTTATGGACTCTAATTAAAAAAATATATAGTACAAATTTTTTAACAAATGAAGAAATAAATGATTTATTTTTTCCAGGCCGATAATTTGAGGCACCAAACAATTCATCGGCTGCTTCAAATCTTAACTACTCGTCAAGCCGCGAGGTGTTTTATAGCAATCGGCGATTATTTCCATCGGCTTCGAGCCCTCAGCTCGCTTTGGCTGGCGCGTCCTCGTCACGAATAATTAATTAGCTAGTTAATAATTAGCCTTTTGTAATCTTAATTTCTTCACCTATATTTTCCCCCTAAATGTTTCTATTACTTTTTTTTTGTGTTGATATAGATGAAACATAGTTATAGGTAAAATGATAAAATTAGTACTTTATCAATTTTAATTTATATAACGATGTTTGGCTGAACACAACGCTTAAAAAAAAAGACCTTAAAAACACGTAATCTAAAACAAGTCTTCAAAATTTATACGACTATAAATCAACTCACTCAGCGTAGACTCTTTTTAAATTCTCTGTGTTTATATTTATAGCATATGATAACAAAATCTCGGCTTCGTCGCTAATAAGGAGAGTTGTTGTTTAGGTGTTACAACTTCACTTTTACTTGATTTAAGTTCTAATTATCAAATATCATCTCTCTTTTACCTAGCTTTCCCTACCTACCCAAAAAAGAATATATGATTTTTTTATAGATATATCTCTCAACTAAAATTCAAGTTAGTTGACTATTAAACTATGAGACATCTAGAAGTAATTATTATTAAATACAATGTCAAACTTATAATTGAATTGAGCATGAAAATGTTGTGTTGTCCTTTTCAAGATGGCATTGTTTTCTCAATAGTCATGGAGACAATTGAGACCATTAAGAAGAGATTAGGTGATCTAAATTGATAATGTATAACATCCTAACACAAAGTCAAACAATACAAATTAATTACTCCGTATGTTCATATTTACTTGTCCAGATTAGACTTTGCATAACAACATGATCATTTATTGCAATACTCATATTAATTGATCATAACTTCTATGATCAGGTAACAAGTTCACAACATGAAATCAATCTCTTGCAACAATGAAAAGTGAGATTCATAATTTCATATAATGAACTCAATAGGGTTCATCATCTCTTCTTCTAACCTCAAAGATAAGTGGCAAATGAGGCTTAAAATGAACAGCAGCAAATTGAAACCTAACAATTCACAGATCCTATTTAAGAGGGTAAAAAAAGAAGTGCATCAAAACATAGAAGTGCATCTCCTTATTAAACACAATTCAAGTATGAAACCTGCATCAAACACTATGTACATATTCAAATGCATATCTCCAATGTATGGTGAATACATACTCAAATGCATATCGCCAAAACAAAAAACTTCAGCAGGATGTAAAAGCCAATTCTATAAAGGTACATTCTAACAAGGAACAGAAAGATATCGAAAGATATCCTAATTCAACTAATTGCTTGATCATCAGAAGATGATCCACATTACCTCCCTGTTCAGCAGCTCTACCTCCTTTCTCCAAAATAACCGAGTATGTGACCCTCAACCTTGATTGAGTTGAACATCAAAATGGAAAATCAGCGCATTGACATTAAAGTTTTAACTCTTTTGTCCCTCTCTTCTTTCCTGGCACCTGGGGTCCTCTTCAATTTATGCAGCTCTTCCATAACATCTTTCTCAACAGTGTCAATTGAGTTCAGCAGCTTTCTTTGTGGTGTGAGGCATTCAGAGTCTTCTGAAGTACTCTGATTGGTGATATCAAGCAAAATCTTTGGCACTTTACCAACAGATCTGGTATGATATCTGCTTCTGGTTTTTGGACGTGGGGTGATCAAAGAATTAGTGTGCTCAAGTTGAGCACCTGATGTTGATTCAGAAGGACCAAGATCAGTATGGTCCTGGGGTACAACACTCTCAAGTTGTTCGCCTTCACTTTCTCTCAAGCGAGCTCTTGTTCTTTCAATTGCCTATGGAGGAAATCCAATTACAATCAGGCTCATCCAGAACTATATAAAGCAAAACTTAATTTGATGGTATTCAGCAGTGTTAAGATGTAATAAAATTTCAAATCCTGACATGTATCTAGATACACAAAAAGTGCAACTGCATTGAAGTCAAGCCCAAATAGTTTCTAGCTTATAGTAATACCTGCGACTGGGAGAGCTCGAGGTGACCTCATACCACACTTGCAGTGTTAAGGATTTTAAGTTACTTAACTGGCATAACAGTACCACATGCATATCAAACCTTTATTAAGAGAAGCAAAGAATTTCTCCCGTCTCTTTGTAGTTTCTGATTGTAGTTAAAATAGAAACTTGAATTGATAGCATTATTCAGCAACTGATATAGATTGATTTATTTTGTTTTACTTAAGTTAAGTAGCTGAACAGTGGAGGTAATGAGAGATGCTGGGCCAATAAAATGCATAGATGAAAAGTCATATAACTGCAAAAGGGAAAAATAAAAAGAAACAAAACCAATTAAGAGGTAATTGATAACTATTGGATTAGTTCTTATATGTGAGCATAACTTAATCTTTATACAGAAATGCGAACTTTATATGTATTTCATGAGCCCATTCACAATTATAAGGTGAAATATAATTTATTTCATGGTATCAGCCTATCAGGTTAGCTTCGTCTCGTTCTTTTGTCTTCCTCTATCCTATTCTTTTCAATTTTATCATCTTCTTCCAGTCTGATATGGCTTAAGTGTTAGATTCTTTATCATTTGCACATCTCATTCTACCACATCTCAATACATCGAAGATCTTGTTATTGATGTTCATTGATTTAGCAAACTATATGTTCTGGAGGAAACTTCTTTTGCCTCCTTTCAAAGGTCAACTTAAACTCTATGTTATGGAGGAAATTTCTTTTGCCTCTCTTCAAACTTCAAATTTCTCAATCCATCCTTTCACTAATGGAATTCCTAAACCATGATCAAAGTGATTTATCAATGCAACTCTGGACTACTATAAAATTCTCAACTACATCATAAATGTTAAATAGATAGGGAATAAAAAAGTAACTTAATTTTTGAGCATAATACCCGCAGTATGCACTACTTGTTTAGGATACGTTGAGATAAAAATTCTTTTAGGAATGTGTAGGCACACTAATTCAAATTGGGTACAGGCTAATGCAAGTAGTGGAACTTCCTGTATTGAGCTTAGACATCTTAATCCACATAGGCTGTTGCAAACAAGTTGAGAAAGCTTGAACTGTAAACAGCTTGCTCAACTACTGATCACTCATATGCTCACCAAACATTTGCTAGAGCTGAGGGTCTATTGGAAACAAACTATCTACCTCTCAAGATAGGGGCAAGGACAGCATACACACTAACTTCCCCAAACCTCACTTGTGGTATTACACTCATTATATTGTTGTTGTTGTATACTCACCAAACAAACAAACAGTGAGATAGCAGACAACAATTGAGCTTTACTTTAATTCCAGAATGATCAAAACATATTCTTGTTAGAACTATTAATGCTAGATGAATCAAAACTCTATCAAGCAACCAAATGTTGACTTACAAACACAAATGTAAGATAAGCAACCTAAGTCTATGTCCATATCATCATGCAGATCCATCTCTTAGCTGCATATTGAAATGTGCAGACACTATTTCTAAATTCTAAATCCATCTCTCATTATAACCAGTTACTCTTGTAATTCATTGGACCATATGTATGAGAAATTAAGTATGAATAGCAAATCAAGATTATGCAAAAGAAGCTCAGTCTCTAAATAGGCAAGAAAGTAGTTACCCTGACAATGGAAGTAATGTCACGGAGAGGAGTTCTTGGATACCAAGCTGGAAGGACACTGTGACGCCCTCGATTTCTCCCCTGGCCTGCTGGTGAAATGTTCTGACGACCAATCACCCTGGTTGGAGTTCGAAGTGAGTTTCGTCCACGCCTATTCCTTGGCGACCCAAAACCAATCCTTCCAATGCCACCACGACCACCGCTGGTGCCTGCCATTCTCCCTGTTTCCACTGTAGTCTGTACTGGAGCTCTGGAAGAGCTTTCTGGTGATTCATCCTCGAAGATCTCAATGCCACCTCTGCCCATTGACCTCCGCCGACGACTGTAGATGTCTATTGGGTCTTCTTGCCTAGATAATCGGTCTCTCCCTTCGGCCATTTTTCTAAAATATTCAACTGAACCAAAAAGCAAACAAAGAAATGTTATCTAAACCCATTTCATTCCCAAACAACCTGATTGAATCTTCTATGCAAAGTAAAGAAAACCCCGATGACCCAGAAGACTATTTTATCTGGAAAATGTGTATAACTGATACCAAATGCATCAATTTCAACTACCCGATTGAATCTTTCGCAAAAGTAGACAGCTGCTAGCAAATACATCAATTTCAACTACCAGATTGAATCTCTTATCTAAAAGAAACAAACAAATCCGATGACCCATAAGATCAATTAAGCCAGAAATATATCCAACTGATATCAATACAGCCAATTTCAACAACCAGATTGAATCTCTTGTCTAAAAGAAAGAAAATTTCCGATGACCCATAACACCATTTCAACCGGAAAATGTAGCTAACTAAACATCAAACAGTGAACAGAGAATCTTCCAACGATCGGACATGTAATCAACTGGCAAATACATCAATTACAACTACCAGATTGAATCTCTGGCGCAAAAGAAAGAAATTTCCGATGACCCATAACACTATTTCAACCGGAAAATGTAGCTAACTGAGTATCAAACAGTAAACAGCGAATCTTCCAACGATCGGGCGTGTAGTCAACTGGCAAATACATCAATTACAACTACAAGATTGAACCTCTAACACACAAAAAGAAAAATCAGATGACCCATAACACCATTATAACCGGAAAATATAGCTAACTGATTGCAAACACATCAATTACAACTACCAGATTATATCTCTAACACAAAAATAAAGAAAATTTCCGATGACCCATAACACCATTTCACCCGGAAAATGTAGCTAACTGAACATCAAACAGTAAACAACGAATCTTCCAACGATCTAAAAGAAGTAAAGAAAACAAAAATTACCTTGAAAAAATCTTCTGGGTTTGTATTAGGGTTCTTGAGGAGGCTCTGTAGTAGTGGAAAATGAAGAGATAGAAAGCTTAGAGAGAGATAGGCACATTGGCAAATTTTCAAAATTTGATTTGGGCGGTTCTTTATAACAAAATGAAAATGAAAAATTTCACAAACTGAAAATTTTGAAAAAATTTGAAAAATGGTGAGCACGTGACGTCTATTAATTATTTGAATTTAAAATTTAAAAAAGGGTACAAA